GATCGAGTGCTATATAAGAGCTTGACCTATTCACTGAGCTCACTCAGACAGGTGCAGCTTCTGCATTATGGCAGCAAAAGAAGCGACCTGTCTCCTTCTTTGAAGTGTTCAACATAATTAACTATCACAATAAAAAAGTTGATGTAGGGTAAATGATCCTTAAACTTTGACACCCAGTCTGTTGGGTTACACAGCCCTGACTCTGCTCTCCCATTTGGCTTCCAGATGTGTGCATGTGTGAATCAGAGCTGGGATCCCCCAACTGGAGGGAACCTCTGGACTGCGTCCGAGCCTCCGAGCTGTGCAACCAGAACAGTCAATGTAGCTCGCGCTACCGGATCATGCGCCAGTGTCTGTCCGGCGGGGACAAAGAGCGCAGCACCATGCTGGCCTCCAAAGAGTGCCAGAGGGCACTGGAGGTGCTGCAGGACTCTCCTCTGTACGACTGTCGCTGCAAGAGGGGGATGAAGAAGGAGCTGCAATGTCTGCAGAACTACTGGAGCATCCACATGGGCCTAACAGAAGGTAAGCTTACGACACAGTAAGCTAATCATGCTTCTTGCTGATCTTTTCATTCTTTTTCCAGTTTAATGCTCATATTGGTAAATTTTTTATGTGCTAAGGTCAAAGATGATCTGCAGCAATTGCTGTGTGGGAGCCAGGCTGCTTCTGCCTGAAGCAAAGAGGGAATATGATGTTCTTACTGATCTGCTTTATTTGTGGAAAAGCTTCTATACAGACCGATTAGACAGACAGGAAACACAAGACTGATGTGAAAAAAACAGGAACGTGTCTCTTCAAGCTGCCCCCCACCCCCCACCCACCTGTTGCAGATCCCGCTGCTTGTTCTGCACTTTGCCTCAGTGTGTGTCTGTCCCACCGGAATGGACATACCCTCTTTTCCTTTGTTTTCTGTTCAACTAAGGATGCCTCTGGGTTGTGCCGACAGCTACCCCCCCCCCATATACACATCATTGTTTTACAGTCTTACTGAGGCCCTTGCATTGTAATTCATTCATTCACTTTCATCGAAACACATAGAAACTGCTGAAACCGCTTCTCTGGGTCAGATTATGAAACATTCTGGAGTCACAGCATGTGGTGCATTCAAGTACTGCAGTAATACGTAGTAACTTTAGCTTTTTTACAATATGTGTTTGTCTTTTGGTGCGTAGGTGTTCTATCTGTCACTGAGGTTAACCCCTTGAGCCCGCCTCGCCCAATACTGGACCCATCTGGCACTTGCTCATGTTGATCTAGTTATGAAAATGTCCAAAACACAGTCACATGGTGTTTCAATCTGTGTATTGTTCGTTCTTTGGTTTTTTTCGTTTCAAAACAAAAACGAAAAAACAAAACAAGTGGTTTTTCTGTTTTTCCGTTTTTTAAAACCTAAATCGAAAAAATGAAAAATCGAATTAATAGAAAATCAACAGTGTTTGAGTTTTGTTTTGCCATCTAAGTGAAAAGAAATACGGTTGTGTTTTAATATGTAGCGGTACTGGAAATGAAGCAAGTCGGCAAAGAAAAATCATTTACAGTGGATGAAGACGGCATCAAAACAAAAGGCGATGGCTGCACTTGAACCGTTTTCTGCATTGATTATCGAACTTTTTAGAGAGGAAAAACACACTCTGAAATCAGTGATGCTTTGAGCCGCTATGGAGCTCCACATTACTCGTTTCCATTTTGGTAGTGCTAACTGAAAAAGTTCTTCTACTTGTGTATTGTAATGGTGGTTGGCAAGAAATTGAAGGCGTACATTACCGCCACCTACTGGTAACCAATAAAGTTATGTGTTGGGAGTTCAGGTCTTCATTTCCGGTTCTGCAATAAGGTCCGTTGAATTAAAAACAAAACAGAAAAAATAAAAAGTTTGTCTTTGGTTTAACCATTGCATTTAAAAAAAAACCAAAATGTACCCTTTTTTCATTTTTGCAAATGCCGGTTTTTTACTTTCGTTTTAAAAACGGAAAAACAAAAAACCACATGCTTTTTTTGTTATTTTGTTTTTGTTTTAAAACGTAAAAAGCACAGAATGAATCATACACGGACTTGTTTCATCCACATGCCTTTAAAATGTTGCTGTTATAATTTCTAAAAACATGTTTCAAAATAATTTTTTCACAAATACTTTTGGTTTTATAGCTGTGTAAATAAATAAAATGAGATTTAAAATTCCAACTGAAATGTCTGACTGCAGGAGTAATGCAACAGCACCAGTGTTGGGTAAGTTACTTTAAAAATGTAATCCGTTACAGTTACAAGTTACCTTGTTTAAAATGTAATTGTAGTGTAACCTTTTCGATTACTTTTAAAAAGTAATGTTACTAATTACTTTTGATAACTTTTTGATTACTTTAAGGTTNTTAATTCCAAATGTCTGGAGCAATGCTATTGCAGACATTTGGAATTAAGAATTAAAATACATTAAATAAAGATAATCCAACAACTATTTTGGATTTAAAAATTTAAAATAATAAATGTTTTAAACATAATATATGAAAAATAATGACAGTTTCACTGGATTTGTTTATTTTTTCCCCATGTTATGGGGAAACGGATTCTATCAGGCGGCTAAAATATATGATTTCCCTCTGATAACTTTGGCAAATAATGATAAAATTTGACCAAATCCACAGAGTTTGCTGTTGATGAAGAGAGGAATAAACACAGTTAAAGACTTGCAGGTGAATTCATTTCTTCCCATGTAATGGAGGGGGAATTGTTATGTGTGTGCATGTAGTAAAGTAGAAATTTCTTTATATTTTACATTAGAACGGAATTTAGAAGAAAGTCTACTCTCTCATCTTCACCCTTGGGGCTAAGCCCCTGATCTCCTAGGATCCTAGATCCTCCGCTGGCGACCTGTCTCCTTCTTTGAAGTGTTCAACATAATTAACTATCACAATAAAAAAGTTGATGTAGGGTAAATGATCCTTAAACTTTGACACCCAGTCTGTTGGGTTACACAGCCCTGACTCTGCTCTCCCATTTGGCTTCCAGATGTGTGCATGTGTGAATCAGAGCTGGGATCCCCCAACTGGAGGGAACCTCTGGACTGCGTCCGAGCCTCCGAGCTGTGCAACCAGAACAGTCAATGTAGCTCGCGCTACCGGATCATGCGCCAGTGTCTGTCCGGCGGGGACAAAGAGCGCAGCACCATGCTGGCCTCCAAAGAGTGCCAGAGGGCACTGGAGGTGCTGCAGGACTCTCCTCTGTACGACTGTCGCTGCAAGAGGGGGATGAAGAAGGAGCTGCAATGTCTGCAGAACTACTGGAGCATCCACATGGGCCTAACAGAAGGTAAGCTTACGACACAGTAAGCTAATCATGCTTCTTGCTGATCTTTTCATTCTTTTTCCAGTTTAATGCTCATATTGGTAAATTTTTTATGTGCTAAGGTCAAAGATGATCTGCAGCAATTGCTGTGTGGGAGCCAGGCTGCTTCTGCCTGAAGCAAAGAGGGAATATGATGTTCTTACTGATCTGCTTTATTTGTGGAAAAGCTTCTATACAGACCGATTAGACAGACAGGAAACACAAGACTGATGTGAAAAAAACAGGAACGTGTCTCTTCAAGCTGCCCCCCACCCCCCACCCACCTGTTGCAGATCCCGCTGCTTGTTCTGCACTTTGCCTCAGTGTGTGTCTGTCCCACCGGAATGGACATACCCTCTTTTCCTTTGTTTTCTGTTCAACTAAGGATGCCTCTGGGTTGTGCCGACAGCTACCCCCCCCCCATATACACATCATTGTTTTACAGTCTTACTGAGGCCCTTGCATTGTAATTCATTCATTCACTTTCATCGAAACACATAGAAACTGCTGAAACCGCTTCTCTGGGTCAGATTATGAAACATTCTGGAGTCACAGGATGTGGTGCATTCAAGTACTGCAGTAATAAGTAGTAACTTTAGCTTTTTTACAATATGTGTTTGTCTGTTGGTGCGTAGGTGTTCTATCTGTAACAGAGGTTAACCCCTTGAGCCCGCCGCACCCAATACTGGACCCATCTGGCACTTGCTCATGTTGATCCAGTCACATGGTGTTTCAACCACATCCCTTTAAAATGTTGCTCTTAAAATTTCTAAAAACGTGTTTCAATATAATTTTTTCACAAAACCTTTTCGTTTTATAGCTGTGTACATAAATAAAAGGAGATCTGAAATGTTTGACTGCAGGAGTAATGCAACACCAGGTATTCATTTTTAGCCCCGCCCCCTAATGGCCGCCATCATTGGAAACTAGAGGCTCAGACCTTTCCAAGGAGGGGTTGGAGGTCATTGTGAGACCATTTAAGGTGATGTAACCGACATGATTTACATTAGCTTGCTCTGTTATTCTTAATTTCTATTCAGTTTGGAGATATTATTGGTAAACATCAATTGAAACAACGGCTAAATCTTAGGAGCAAAGGCTTTGCCTTATGCTGAAGGTCTCCAATAATGGAAATTAGAACAGATTACCTTTTATGAGTGGGAAAATGCATTTGGCATAATTTGGCCAGTTTTGCCACCACTGCTAAAATCCCATTTCCATCTGGCACACTGCACACTAAAAGCTTTGTGGAATATGCTTCAACTTATTCAGTCCAAATTTGCTTGAGTTAAAGTCAAGATGTGGCTCTATAAAGTCTGAGGGTTTATCTAGAGTTTCAAATGGGCTTTCATGGTGTTTTGCAGTGTTTATTTCAGAAAAAAATTAGGTGAGGCTAAATATTTTAAAGTTTTTCTTTTTTAATCACCTATAAATCAGACATGGTGACATTTAAAATAGTATTTCCACCTGAAAAATATTCCCCAATGCCTTTCTGTCACACAAATACAAACAATTGTATTTCCAATTATAGTTTGGGAGCTGAACTTACTTTAATCCAGATATGTCATTTAATGCGGAATATGCTCCTAAGGCCCTCTGGGCTTAAGGGTTTTTACACAGTGAGTAAATGACTCCTTCACTTAATTTGTATATTACGGCTACATCCACATTGGCAAGAAAGTCATTAAAATGTGGTTAAAACACAAGAACTTAAAATAATTTCTAATACTGAACAAGATTATTTTAGCCTGAACTAAAACTACATACATTATCAAATTTAAAGAGGAATGCACAGTAGATGAATTTATGTATGAGGATCCATTCCAGGGCAACAGGTAAAACAAAAATTACATCCCACTTTTTCATTCAGGCTGATCGATGGACTTTTTCAGCAGAATGGGACGCTATGCTGAAATGGTTTCCTTTCAAGGATCCAAAGAAACTGAATCGGTCAGCTCATGCTGAGTGGATGCTGGAAAAAGAGAGATGTTAGCATTTTGGAATCCCATTGCAGACCACTTTGGACTAGTATATGTCTGACCAAAGATGTCTGGTCAGGTAGGTGAAGGTCAGATCTGCTTGATCAGCTAACGACAACTTCATCATTTTTCCCACTGAAAATACTGCATTAANATCTAGAGTTTCAAATGGGCTTTCATGGTGTTTTGCAGTGTTTATTTCAGAAAAAAATTAGGTGAGGCTAAATATTTTAAAGTTTTTCTTTTTTAATCACCTATAAATCAGACATGGTGACATTTAAAATAGTATTTCCACCTGAAAAATATTCCCCAATGCCTTTCTGTCACACAAATACAAACAATTGTATTTCCAATTATAGTTTGGGAGCTGAACTTACTTTAATCCAGATATGTCATTTAATGCGGAATATGCTCCTAAGGCCCTCTGGGCTTAAGGGTTTTTACACAGTGAGTAAATGACTCCTTCACTTAATTTGTATATTACGGCTACATCCACATTGGCAAGAAAGTCATTAAAATGTGGTTAAAACACAAGAACTTAAAATAATTTCTAATACTGAACAAGATTATTTTAGCCTGAACTAAAACTACATACATTATCAAATTTAAAGAGGAATGCACAGTAGATGAATTTATGTATGAGGATCCATTCCAGGGCAACAGGTAAAACAAAAATTACATCCCACTTTTTCATTCAGGCTGATCGATGGACTTTTTCAGCAGAATGGGACGCTATGCTGAAATGGTTTCCTTTCAAGGATCCAAAGAAACTGAATCGGTCAGCTCATGCTGAGTGGATGCTGGAAAAAGAGAGATGTTAGCATTTTGGAATCCCATTGCAGACCACTTTGGACTAGTATATGTCTGACCAAAGATGTCTGGTCAGGTAGGTGAAGGTCAGATCTGCTTGATCAGCTAACGACAACTTCATCATTTTTCCCACTGAAAATACTGCATTAAAGCGCGTTTTTCAAACACGGGTCGACTGGCTAACAATCAGCATTTGGCTCCATTCCCATTGGCTAAAAGAGCTGGGTCTAACCCCCTCACTGGCAGCTGCATCTCTGGTGACGCCATCGCGCTGGGTTGACATTGATGATGTCATCAGTGCGACAAATATCAGGGAAGTAAACAATGGAGGGCAACATATCAGGAAGCCAGGGCGTAGTCAGTGTGCTTTATAGTTTCTCTCTATTATCTCTCTGAATCCCTCTCTCCAGAGCTGCTCCATGTTCATCCAATGTAAACAGAGTTGTTTCTGCTTGTCAGATCAGAAGCGACTGGTGTGGTATGTTGATGTTAGTGCATTGTGTTCAATGGTGTCACGTAATTTAGCGGTTCTGATGTATCCACAGCATGCAGATCAGAGCCGAGGCAATTTTAACACGGGTCACTTGCAGAGTCATTTGACCTGGGTAGACACGCGTCAGTGAGCTGTTATAAATGCCACCATTGTTCCTGGGTTTAAACTGTTTTTTTTCGGGAAGTGTAAAAGGGGTAATAGTTAGCTGTAGTGTTTAAGGTAAGCTCAGATTGCCTTTGGGACAAATGTCTCATTTATTGAATGTGACCCTCTCAAGTTACATAGGTGAGTTTTTGAGAGCAGCAGCATGCAGGGAGCATTAAAGGGAGGGAGCGCTGAAGATTGATATAACTTAAACCAAACTAATACTAGGATGAAGAGTTGCACAGGGATGATCTAATGCATACAAATTCACTGTTTATGCAGAAAAAACAAACATTTAGCACAAGAGTTTGTGTTTTTTGGTAGAATGTCTTTCAATGTTTTCTGGTACAATATTGCTTTCTGGGAAACCTGCAACTGTGGGAAACATTGGAGCTTTGTTATATTATGCTTATGTTATGTTTGGACTAACAGCCGATTTACCTAATCATTCTTGTTTTTGTTTTTTTTTTAACTCATCTAGAATCAAACAGCAGTTTTAGCTTTTGGGCATTAGGAGGTCTGGTCTATATACTAACTTCTAATGCTAAAACCACACCTTACCTGCAAATATGGCTTCATTTAAAGGAAAAGTGAATTTTTTTTTACTAGAAAACATTTGTTGTTACAAAAAATAACCAAGAGCAGTTATAGAACAGTCCTACTAATTCCATCCAGCTCACACTGTTAACCTCTCCTGTAGTTGCCACCTGACCGTGGTAGGGAAGCAAAGCGGAGGGCCGAAAGTAGTCCTCCTTCCGGTTTTAACTCCCTTACCTGTGCAGTAGGGGTGAGACAAAAGAAAACATAGAGGTAGAAGTGTTTGTGTTAAACTTCGGTCTATTTATTCCTCCAGTCTGTCCTCTTTCAAAGAAAAAATATGGGACATTCTCTGGTCATGGTCTCTGTTGAAAACAGGATCTCATTATGACAGCTTCTTACTCACTTTTCTTGTTATAAACCTACAGAAACTTTCCATTCTCTCTTGACACAGAGCACACTGAGCTCTTATCACAGACTAAGACTGTTCTTACAACAACATGTTGGAAATAGACACACTACCAACACCCTCCGGTTGTATTTTCAAAATTAATAAATTCAGTTTATTTCTATAGCTCCAATTTACAACACGTCAGCTCAAGGCACTTTACATCGACTCATTGACTCTTCAGCAATCCCTCACACTAAGCATGCTTGTAAT